CAGCGTTTTTTCCCTCCCCTGCTCAGGGCGATCCAGACACACTCCTCACCCCGTTTGTGCAGCGGCTTGCATCTCAAACAAATCCATATCGTCTTCTTTCAGTCCGTGCCGCCTCTTTTCCTCTCCTCCTGTTTTGTAATATAAGCTTGACTCAATACTGCGGAGCTGAAAGACCCAGTTTCTCCCGCTGCAGCATCCACGATGAGAGAAAAGCATGCGGAGAGACAGATAGATGGAAAGCGAGGGAGGGAGACGAGGAGGGAGGGGGAGAGAACCATATCGAGAGAGAAAGAGAGAGAGGGGGAGCATACGTAGTTGCAGGCGTCACAAGGACAACACTAGGCTCTTTAAGCGAATATGAATGAGGCGCAGCGAAGCTATAGAGAAACAGAGGTTCAAAAAATGAGGGAACGAGCAGCAAATGATCTAAATCTGTCAGATCACAACCTGTACTCTTAAAAATAAAGGATCCAAAAGAGGGGTTTCACAGCGATGCCATAGAAGAACCATTTTTGCTTCCCAAAAGAACCTTTTAGTGATCAGTTCTTAAAAGCTCTGTTTTTTTTATGGAAGCTCGTTTCTGCCAAAGGAAAAAAAAAAAGGAAATTGTAAATTTTTACCTCATAACTCTCAATTTTTCCTCACAATTCTGAATTTATATTTCACAATTCAGACAAATCTCGCGATAGACGGTCAGAATGGTGAGATATAAACTCAGAACTGTAAACTCACAATTGCGAGGAAAAAGTAAGAATTGTGAAATGTTAAGGTTAGAAATTTGAAGCTGCAAGAAATAGTCAGAATTGTGAGACACAGTTGCAACTGGTAGAACCAAAAGAACAGAATTCAGAGAAAAAAAGTCAGAATTACGAGATATCAACACAGAACAGCGAAAAAAGTCTGAATTATGAGATAAAAAGTCGCAATTACCTTTGTTTTTGTTTTTTTTGTAGTGGAACAGGCTTCCATAATTTTTTTTTAGTGTGAAGAACATTTTAAAAAATCTAAAAAAGAATTTTGACACTATATGGAATGGAAAGGTTCCAAGGATGTTAAAGGTTCTTAATGAAACTTTATTTTTAAGAGTGTGCACATATACTTTAAGGACAAATTTAATCTCTCTACTAATCACTACAGTGGCCTTTGCCCTCATGAGGCACCCAGCGCTCTCACCCATAAAGCCATTTAGGTCAATCATGGTTATTCCTCAAAGAGACCCTGAGGTGGAATGAAGCAATAGATCTAAGAAAGAGTGAATGACCATCCAGGGACATGGGAATTAATTATCCAGTAAACTGATGGTTAACTACACCACCACCAACACCAGAGAGACATTTAAACTAACTAAGACAATGATGTGATACTTCAGATCAGGAAACAGCTCAAAGGAACGACAACTGAGAGCAAATGAGAAAAGTGCCACATAGGCTGTGTTTAAAATTGCATTCAGTCATACTACTGACTATTTCTGCTGTAGGCACTATACACTAGGCTGCAAGATCTGAGAGAAAAAAAAATCTAATTGTGATTTAAAAGTGTGAAGAAGAAAAAAAAAACAGGTTTGCTGTGCTTGTTTGTAGGGCTGCACAATTTGGCCAAAATGTTGTAATATATAGAATTATTATTCCTCTTCTGATAATATATAAATACGGCTATAATAATAATTAACTAACTAACAAAAAACGAAACAGTATTTTTTGCAATTCTGAGAAAAACTGTGGGAGAAATATATATTTTTTAACTTAAATTTTTTTTTAAATGTAAAATTTCTTACAATTTTAAGATGTTTTTAATTTTTGAAGAGTTGCAATTACCTTTTTTATATGGCTTTAAATTATTATTATTATTATTAATAATTATTACTTTTAAATAAAATAAAACAAAATAAATATTACTATACTGTAGTAATGTTTCACTGAAAAAAAAACAATGTATTTAATAAAAAATAATATCACTACAAACAAGTACTGTATCCCACAATACAATGACTATCCAAATCATGAACAATTGAACTGGAATTAATATCAGCTCTGATTTGTGACTTTTTTATGATATATCTTGTTCTTGACTCATTTGGACTGCAAAGAGATGTTACACAAAACTAGATTAAAAATGTAAAACAACACTTTCATTTGTACATGCCACTTGCTGAATTAAAAATGCAGGTCTGGTTACAAGACAACAATGTAGTCCTGTTTAAAATGTTCGCTGTTGCATAACATGTTCTGTTTGAGATACCATTTAAAAAAATTAAAAAACAAGCCGTTACTGTGTTACTTCATAGATTACAGTATGCATTGATTCTCAGTCTAGCTAAAATCTGCCACTCACTCAAAAGCATACTGTTTAATGCAGGACACTGCCTACGATATAATAGGTATCACGCAACGATTTCAAACAGTAGTATGCAACAATATCCAGAAATCAAAAGTCACACAATCTCGTTATGTTGCATATTTCGAGGCTCCTTTACACTAGAATTAACACTGTGTCAATGAAGCCAACAAATCCATTGATATTGATGGGGATTTTGGAAACATAAACAGTTATTTACCATTTTTATTCCAAAAACAATGAGAATTGTGGGATACAATATTCAGTACAATATGCACAGGTTGTTTAAGATTTTAGCAAACATTTGGCTATGCTTTTCAATGCATACAGAAAGTCTGCATAGAGTATACACTCTGCATACACATACATTATAATTACTGTCTGCACATTATATACACTGTATACAACTTTCCACTCTGGATATATACTGTTCTTATGTAAAAAAAAAAGACACTATGCTGTTTATAAACAATATGGCTTTGCATAGGACGTAATCTGCTATTTGATTTTCTAAACACAATGCATAAGAGAAAGTGATTCAGTGCACTCGGACCATCTCTGATCATTGTGTTCTCAGTCTCCACACGTGTTTGACAGCTCTTAGAGAAGGCAGAGATCCATCCCCAGCCCTACACAAAACACACACACACACACACACACACACACACACACACACACACACACACACACACACACATACACACTACTGAAGTTCCCTCTCTCTCAACTGAATAATTGATGAGGAGACCTGCTAAATAATAGAACATGAGAAAGGAAGAACAAGCAAAGTCTAAATAAACCTGCAGGTTTGGGCCACACCGGGAGCCTCCTACTGTACAACTGCTTTCACACACCATTTACCCACAATGCTCAGCTGTTCAGTGTCATTTCAAGACACAAACTAAATGCCACATGTACTGGACGACTTCTGTAAAACATGACTAAGTCTTACCCGACTGCACAGATGTTTTTCTACGGTCTAAAAATGTTGTTTACTACAACACAGGAGACAAAACTGTTCATTCTGCTTTAGGAAATAACTGAACAACTGACAGGCCAGAATACACAGACACCAGCAAATTACACACAATAGCCTACTAATGGAAAAAGGTCCAAAGAGATTTACAAACATCCAAAAAAGGTGAAAGATTGTAAGCCTAATGAATCAGTTTCTCATTGTGAAAAAGAAATACACTTACAGTAAGTATACTTTTAAAAAGAGTATTTGTTATGGAAATAATATACTTCAAAAGAATATACTTATTTGTGAACTAAATGTAATGTTTTCGGATTATAGTTTAAATTCCTATTAAATGCAATTAGTTAAAGAGAGTGCATTTTTACCCACTTAAATAGGACTTAAGTATATCTTTCAATTTAATTTCATTAAATATACTGAAATGTGGAAAACTAAAATGAACTTTAATGTCATTTCTATTAAAGGGGTCATATGATGTGTGATGCCGTGTCCGGCCGGAGCGACGAGACAAAAACATTAACTCATTATAAGCGAGGCATTTGTTGCATCCAGTGGGGACATAATTACGGTTTATAATGACTTGTACTGTCCTGTCTTTTTACGCGTTGCATCGCGCCTCGTAAACATAAAACCATCTTTGCATTTGCGATCGGAGAAATGACAAACAACAAGCGCTACTCTACACTGCCCAAAACTCGCGATTGAATCGTCAGTGGCAAATTCTTTAAATATAAAAAACATACTTACAGTCTGTGAGTCAGAACAGCCGGCATTGTAGTCTACTCTCCCAGGATCAGGAAACAGTCCTCCATAAAATGCGCTGCACACATCTGACTATTTGGGTTGAAGTGTTCTGGAACAGTGTTGTAAATACAACTTAACCATTGATTTCTAGTCGTGTCCTCTCTTGGAAGACCAAACAAAGTAGTTTCGCTTTCACAACGAAACAAAGCGTCACACACCGGAGGCCTAGAGTGAGGAACGGTCGGCGGGCTTGAGAACGGCGCGGCCGGCGGATTCGTTGAAGTTAACTTTTATAAAGAATATCTCTTTGGATTTGAGACTTTAGTCTTTGCAACTTTACAGATCTTCTTTATGCACCAAGAGCTTGTAACACTCCAAAGAGAAAGGAAAAATTTAAATCGAATCATATGACCCTTTTAAAATTTGTCATGCATTTAACAATATATAATATGTTTTAGAAAGTTGTAATATAGCACATTTCAAATCTGTAATATCAAATAACTCTACAGTTAAAATTATCATTAAGAGCTGTAAATGTACTTTAGCATGTTAGTCAACACATCAAAATAAGTGTACTTCTTTGAAGCACGACAAAATATCGTTAAACATGATTATTTAGATTTTACTTGAAAGTAATACTTTCAATTTAACATTACTACAAAGTGTACTTTTTAAAAGTGTACTTAAGTGTGTTAAAGGAACAAAGCCATGAAAGTGTCTCTCTTTAAGTGCACTTAAGTAGTCTTTTATGTCATTAAATAATATTATCTTTCAAAAATACTTTTAAGATTACATGTGCACATTCGATACAATTAAACACAATGCCTTTTCACAGGGGTCAGCAAAGTTTCCTGCAACAATTTGTCCACAGTGAAATGCAAATGCTGTGTCGATCACAGTTAATCAAACATATCTGATGTTTAATATACAATCACATGGAGCAGGGTTTTGGACCAATGAGCTTTCACTGTGGGCGAGATTAACAAGAATGGTTACACTGTTTTTAAAACCAAGTGACCATTAAAATGTCCTGCAGCTTGACTAAAACACATACAGTATATCACTCTATTGTATTGCAACTGGTTAGGACACTCTGTAAGAGTAATTTATTTTAATTTTGCTACATTTAAGAAATGCTTTTTACAAGTTACAAAGAACAGTAGAACAAGCGTGAGCTACACTGAAATCCTGCACTGCTGTCCACACTTAACTGATGCACAGATTTACCTACAGCGAGGCAAACATCTTTTGGTTCAAAATCATCGTTTTTCTTGTTTGTGCTCGGCTGGCACTCATCCTACCTCATGGCAGTCTTGTAGAAACCTCTGGAGCTCCCATTGGTCATTGAGTTTATGAAGCCACTGCTGAGCGTGTTCACGGTTCTGGTTCCCTCTGTGAGCCGCATATAGACACACAAACAATCAGAAACTCGTTTATAATTTGTGATTAAACAGTAATAAACTCTTAATCATTTTTTTGTGACAGTGTTTCATAGCTGAGTCTCTGTTTAAAACAGAAGGTAGACTGGGCCATAACAGATTCCATACACAAATGCGCTTCGAAATCCAATTTCACGCTCCTCACTGAGACTGCATTCAGATCAGTGACCGTGGATTCTCAGCGAGTTTCTTTGTTATGCCTCTATGGAAAAAACATTTGAAATTCAGTGTGTCTATAGGAGCAGCTGCACGTTCTGTGCCACAGTGAAATGGAGGGCAGATACAGATGTCAGGTGGTAGGTCGTCTTAGCACTGCTTTTACAATGGTTTTATTACCAATGCTACTTGATGACAGAATAGAGGTTTTGCTATAAAGAAGAATTAAAGAACAGTTGAACACAATACAATTTAACAAATAGCGAGGTCATTTTTAGGAAACTGTGTCATTTCTGCATCATTTATGACATACTACGGATATAATTAACAGGATACTAAGCTAGTCTTCTTATTTGATGAAGTCACAGATCAATGTTTTTTAGTGATGCAAGATAAAAAAAATTGTCTTTCATGGGAAACTTTTAAATTTTTAAAATGTTAAAATTTACAATTTATCACCATTTAATTTAATAGAAAAATGTAAATTTAGGTCAGACAGGATGAACAAGAAAAAAAAGACCTAAGATTAGCTTTTATTGAAATTTAAATAGGTTTTCGTTGTCTATATTTCTTCAATAGTCATTTTTGTATTTTCAGGCTGCAACCTCTTGTTGATACACTTCAGCATACTTTTATTATATTAAATGCAATTAGTTGAACTTTTGAGTGTTTTTTGACCCACTTAAGTGGGACATCTTTATATGTAATTTCATAATTACTTCTATTTTCTCTTATAGTAATTTTTTAAGTACACTTAGGTCGCCTTTTATTTCATTAATATTATTTTACCTGCAAGCAAGTACAGTTTATTAAAAACATACTTGATAGTTTTGAAGTACACTACAAGTGCACTTTTAATATAATTACAAGCAAGGGCTGTTTAACCCCAAAACACTTAAATTCAACAAGGTTGACAATAGAAGTATCATAGAAATATTAACATATTTTTGTTTGAATTAAAATGTATGATTTATAACAGGGCACACAAAAATGAACCTAAATTTCCTCAGTCATCGTTTAGAATTATAAGTAGCTTATAGGACTTTAAACTTGCTGTGAAATGGTTAATGTAGCGCTTTTAACAAGTATTGTTACTTTGCAAGACTGCAAACATAATTTAGGGATCAAGGTTAATAGTTTAAGAATCTGCGTTTGAAAAATATTACATATGCATATTTTGTTGACCACTAATCTGAATATTAGATATTCCTGGACTTGATCAGACATGAAAAACTACGATTTCTTATGTAAAGCCATAACATTTTAAAGTGATTAAAATTGAAAATTGAAAATTGATAACAATTCTGGAAGTTTTTGGCAGTAATTACTCTATTTCCTAAGAAGCAACCTATGGAAGCCTGTTTCCGCCACTGAATACAAATTTTTAAAAAGGTAATTGCGACTTTTTATCTCACAATGGACTATTTTCTCGCAATTATGAGAAATAAAGTTGCAAGTCTGAGAAAAAAAGTCAGAATTGCATGATATAAACTCGCAATTCTGGCTTTTTTTCTCCGAAATTGTGAGTTTATATCTCACAATTGTGAATTTTTTCTCAGACTTGCGACTTTCTTTCTTAGAATTGCAGATTTATATCTTGCAATTGATTCATTCTCTCAGAATTGTGAGATGCGAATTATAGTCCAATTGCAAGTTTATATTTCACAATTCTGAGAAAACTAAGAAGTCAGAACTGCAAGAAAAAATGTAGAATTGCTAGTTTATATCTCACAAAATTGTGATTTTCTCACAATTCCAAGTTTTTAAATTTTGAGAAAAAGTCGAAATTACATTTTTATGTCGTGATCGGTCATGTGGCATGAGGGAAGCAATGCCGTTTCTCAAACTGTGCTCTGATTGGCTAAGATATCCACGTCTGCAGTTAAAAGTACACACACAAAAAAATTTATTATTTGTATTTGTATAGGTATTTGAGGTGCTATATAGCACCGCTAAGTGGCTCTTTGGCTCGTAATCATAGGGGAACCAATTTAAGTGCTATATAGCACCTATAAAGAACCTGTAATGGTTCTTCAGCGGTTCTTTGGGATGGTTAAGGTGCTATATAGCACCATCTTTAAAGATATAGGTGCTATGTAGCACTTAAAGTGGTTCCCCTATGATTACGAGCCAAATAACCACTTTTAGTGCTATTTAGCACCATTTCAATGTGCTTACATTCAAAATTTAAACTTTCATCATTACCCAATTCATTTTATTAAAATTAAAATGTAATTTTTAATTTTATGAAAAATATTTAAGACAGAAATATATTTTAAACATAAATACAGAGTTCTGTCATGAAACTCTAGATGACGCAGTCCGATAGGTCTAGTTCAATCTGACCTGGCGACAACATTGTCACATGGCAGCTGATTGGTTCTCTCCTGTATCGGTAGCCAATGAGCTTACTGCTCAATATTCAAATACCTGGCTTTTGTTTGCTGTAGCAGTTTGCAGCGCACTTCAGAAACCCTCCACCTTCCCCAGCTCCACCTGTATAGATCTGCTACGGGGTGATTCATGTATGCTATATGGGGTTATTTCATGTATGTTATATTTGCAGCAGCAATATTTCTTACATGCTCACAGCAGCATGTTGTGGATGTATTGGCAGTAGCAAGTCTCGGTACTTGCTCTGCCGCAGCAGCAGCGTAGCAGATCTATTCCGCCAAGTCCAAATACATTAACATTGTCATGTACATTACCATGCCAAACCCTCCGAGAGTTGTCATGACAGAACTGTATTTAACTTTAACTTCTCTCCTGACCTATCACTTTTCAAGCAATTTGTTTAATATAAAAGTTTTAGAATTGTGAGATAAAAAGTCGCAATTGCCTTTTTTATTTTTTATTCAGTGGCAGCAACGGGCTTCCACACCAACCAGCTCTATGCGGCATAAATGTTATTATAAGTGTTGTGGTTTTGACCTGTTAGCGAGCAGATCCACTCTCTCTCTGATGCGCTCAGAATAGATGTTGTTCTGACTGATGAGGCTCTCTCCTGCCTCTATGACAGCTTTAATGCGGTGCAGGTTGAGCTCCATGGTGGTGGTAAAGTCCTTGTGCTTTTTGATGGCTGCCTCCACGGTCTCCACTGTGGTGGGGAGCTCCACATGGGCCAGCGCTGACTCCTGAGGAGAGGAGAGAAAGACAGGGTGAAATACTGCATACAGAAAGCATCTAAAATGAGTCCAGATCAATTATACTAAAAGCAAATCCATAATCAGGGCAAATGACAAGCTGTTGGTGGTACTGCAATAATAAACACTTTGAAACAATATCAATGCTCACATATTCTTCTGTGACGATTCCACAAATGTTTTCTAACTCGGTCAGTTCTACAGATTGAAGGCACAAATACAAACGGTCTACTTAAATTCATTTTTCTTGCAAACAGATATTAAATGATGGAAACAAAAATACAATATTGATAAATATGGTTAAAACCATAATTGTTAAATATGTTTAGTTGTCCTTACAATGTTCCCATTTAGAAAGGTGAAACTCAAACAATCTTAAGGAAAAGTGGCTAATGAATGCCACTGCCATGTGTGTTACTGCAAACCAGTTCACGCTCGATGACAGTGCGGATTCTTACTCTGTACCCGCAGGCAACAGAAAACGACTCTGGGCTTTTAGCAAGCCACAAAAGACACGGGGTTGAGGAAATGAATGTCCTCTGGCATTTAAACCACTTTTATGATATTCTTATGAAGTGATGACCCAACATAAAAGCAGCAAATGTCTCTGAATATGAACTGAGCAATGACCTTAAACTGCCCTGATGCTCCTGACATTTACAGACGTGACCTGAAAAAGATCAGCCAGATCTGTTCTTGTGTCCTAATTGTCTGCTAACTCTAACCCGTAGAATAGGACAGTCATAAAGTGTCTTAAATATCTCAATTGTTTTTCCTAGACGGCGATGAGATATAAAGAAGAGCAAATGGAGACTTTTCTCAATTGCATTTACCTTTTTACTCAGGTTTGCCTAATTTCTGAGGGTGAATTGATTTGGGCTAAACACGCGGCAGTATTCAAACCTGCCATGTCTTAACCCTAGCTTCAGAAGAGATCTCAACAATTACCCCTATTAATTCTATTAAAATGAAAAATTTTAATTTTATGAGAAACAAAACTGGTAATTAAATATAAGTACATTTATATAAATATAGCTGTATTTGTCTATATTTAACCTCTCCTCTGCCCTGTTCACTTTTCTAGCAAATTTTTAATATAAACAATTTGTCAAAAAAATAGGTTTAAATGTTTTTTAAAGTATCTTATGGTCACCAGTGTGGCATTCATTTGATCAAAAATACAGCCATATTATGAAATGTTACTACAATTTAAAAGAATGGTTTTCTAGTTATTTATTTTTTTCCACAATTTTTTTTTTTTACATTTAGAACAATAATAAGAAATGTTTATTGAGCAGCAAATCAGCATATTAGTATGATTTCTGAAGGATTATGTGACACTGAAGACTGGAGTAATGATGCTGAAAATTCAGCTTTGATCTCAGGAAAAATTACTCTTTAAAATATTTTCAAATAGAAAACAGTTATTTTAAATTGTGATAATATTTCACAATGTAACTGAATATAACTGCTTTTAATGTTTTTTTGTTTTGTCAAATAAATGCAGCCTTGATGAGCAAAAAAGATACTTTTTTAAAAAAATCAATAAAAAAAATGTAATCTTAATTATTTTTAAACTTTTGACTGGTAGTGAAACTAATTTAAGTAGTGTATGAATCATAAATGAGAAACGTTGGTTTTCACGAGACTCACTGGCACATGCGCAACGCCGACATCTTACGTCATCAGCCCGGAACTGCTTCCAGTGTACAACTGTTGGCTCAAGCTACATTAAAGTGATTATTACGTTTTGAATATGGATATTTTTCTTACAAAAGCGCATCGATTCGCTACAGGAGGCCTTTGTTCACCCCCCGGAGTCGTGTGAGACACTTTTTTTTAATGGATGGGCGCTTTTTATTTAACTTCTTTTGGACTGATGCATGCAAAACCCGCTGAGTGGCATTAAACAGCTTGAAAGATCAAAGACAATTTTTTATATAACTCCGACTGGATTCATCTGAAAGAAGAAAGTCATATACACCTAGGATGACTTGAGGGTGAGTCATTTATCGGCTAATTTTCATTTTTGGGTGAACTAACCCTTTAAGATTCCTCATCTATGACAGAGTAACTTCTGAGGAATAACATTTAAGAAAAAAAAGCCTTCAGAAATATCTTTCAAATTTAAACTGTGTAACTACCATAAAGAGGTATCAGGGGCTTCACCTGGTTATTGAGGAAAGCCTCGGCCTGCTTGACGTCCCTCAGGAAGAGATGGAAGATGTGAGCTTGCACCAGCACCTCCCTCCTGCTCTCCCACATCTCCAGCAGTTTGTTCCAGCCCTCGTCCAGCTTGTGCAGCCACTGCTGCAGAGCTCCATGAGGCAACGGCGCTTCCTCCGTCTCCACAAGCTCATTCACAGCCTGGAGACGCTCGTAGTCCTCTTCGTACCTTCCGATCTCCTCCTTGAGCGCGGCGTGTTGGTTTATTAGTCGTTCTGCATCCTCTAAAGCATTGGGAAGCTCATCCGAAGCAGCAGCCGTCTGGGTTTGCACCAACCAAGTGAGGAAGGAATCCAAGTCTTGGATGAACTGTTGTAAGCGGCCAGCGACGGTTAAAGAGTCTTCACAGCCTTGCAATGTACACTTTAGCTCTTCCCACTCCACGCTGATGCCTTCAAAGGGAACCAGGATGTCTACGGTCTTGTCCGGATGGGATGTGGCGAGCTCCTCCGCTTCCTCCTGCAGGTGAAGGAGCTTGGGCTCGAGAACCGTCAGAGCTCCCTCCATGGTGGAGAGACGGCGCTGCAGAGCCAGCACGCTGCCCAGGTCACTGCCCACATACTGCGTGGCGTCTATGGCTTTCCGCTTGTCCTGAATCTGGGACTTGATCTCCGTGCATTCCAGTAAGTAGTTCTGGATGCGCAGGATCGAGTCCAGGTGATCTTTCTTCTGCTCGACCAGCTCCACGATGCGGTTCCACCTGTGATACACAAAAAGAAAGCAATTTAGTTGATTTTCTAGATTTCAGACATTTTTGGATTTGAAGACTCTTTAAACACTTGTATCTCTGTTAAAGTGAGTTCATTCTGTTTCAAATCTTGCTCTTTTTTTGTGTATGTTACTAAGTGTGCCTTGTAAAGTCGGTATGTTCCCTGTCTTGCATTGCAGATGTGTAATAAAAATGACTCTTTAAACACTAGGGGTGTAAGAAAATATCGATACACGTGAGTATTGTGATATTTTGTTTGGCGATACTGTATTGATTCTCAAAAACGCAATACCGATATTTAAAAAAAATCCCGACCGCTAGAAAGCACTCTTCTTACCTCTGAACTTAAACAGTGACAACGTGTGTATTCCGCTCCTGCAAGGTTTGTCTAGTCCTGCCCGCTCCCGCAAACATTCTAATATTCTAATTATAATTAATTTATAATTTATGCATTTAGCAGACGCTTTTATCCAAAGCGACTTACAGTGCATTCAGGTTACACATTTGTTACCAGTATGTGTGTTCCCTGGGAATCGAACCCACGACCTTTTGTGCTGCTAACGCAATGCTATATAATTTTCGCGTATCAGGGATCAATGGGGAGTATTTAAATCTCTTTTGAATGAGTGCTCGTGCTGTTCACTTTCACTTTCGATTTCGCGATCATGCGCACTGAGTAAAGGGAGCGCATCTTACGATATAAGATATTTGTCAATGAGCTCCGGATCTGTTGAGTAGCAAATCCTCCACCATGGTCTTGTAGGTCATCCCTCCTCTCGACCCATGATCAGTTAAATCTGACTCCTGCAAGCACTTATTTGTTACCCCTTTACTCGTACTGCACAAAAAGTGGTTCAATAGCGTTGAATGTTACAGGAACAGATTAATGCAAATGCAGATCCCACTGTGTTCTGGTTAATATATATACTGTATATATGTATGCATGTATGTAAATTGATTTTTTTTTTTGCTAAGGTTTGCATATGGTGGTGTGTTCTAAATGACAGTTTTCCTAAAATTATATCATATTCTCCTATTCCTAAAATAAGAAATATCCCAATATATCATCTTGCTTACAGTATCGCAATATATCGCAACATATCGTATCGCAACCCATGTATCGTGATACGTATCGTATCGCCACATTCTTGCCGATACACAGCCCTATTAAACACTGATGTCTGTTAGCTTTGAGGTCATCAATATGCTAGTGCTAAAAGTTAACAACATTAGCTTTTATTATACATACGTAAGTGCATGTACGATTTACAGCTTTTCTTAAATGGTCCAAAATATTGATCACTCATCTTTGTTCACAGCAGGGTCATTATACACCTCTAAAGCTAAAACTACAATCATTCAATCAAATCATTCAATCAAATCAATCAATCAATCAATCAATCAATAAATACTTGAAATAAAATAAACATTATCTAAAATAAAAAATACTGTATATATATTTCAGAAAATAAGGAACATTTCTCATTTTCATGTACTTATTCTTGATGTACTAAAATAACAAAAAAAAATGAAAAAATTATAGACAATCAATCAATCAATCAATAAATACTTGAAATAAAATAAACATTATCTAAAATAAAAAATACTGTATATATATTTCAGAAAATAAGGAACATTTCTCATTTTCATGTACTTATTCTTGATGTACTAAAATAACAAAAAAAAAAAGAAAAAATTATAGACATATTAAAAAAAACTAATAAAAATCACAAACACAAAGGAATTATGAAATGTTAACTAGAATTAATGAAAGTGGAAAATACAAAAATAAAAAATAATTTTAAATGTACAGCTATAATAATATCTCAATGCTAATAAAATAACACTGGTTTGCAGGGATGTATATGCAATTTTATCCTATTAAATACTCTCTAGAACAGTGGTTTTCAACCTTATTGACTTCAAGGCTATTCATTGTCCTCAACAATATTTGAAGGCCCACTAGTACTAGTTTTGCAACTTCTTTTAATCGATAGGCACTCATACTTTCTGTAAATAAAAAAAAATAATAACAATTATAATAAATAATTATAGTCAAAATTAAAATAATTACTTTCAAATTTCCATAAGCTTTAAGAGCCACTGATCTAGAATGAGAATGTCCTTCTCACTAATAAGCTTATTTCACCAAGCAGCACTTGTTTCTTGAGCAACATTCTTGCTGGTTCTAGAAAGTTAAGTTAAGTTTTATCAGCATAACTAATTTACATTTATGTATTTAGCAGAATTTTCCATGCTCGAAAGCATGCAGCTCTGCTATCATTACGTATGCACAACAACTCTTACAATGTTCCTAAGGTTTACAAATGTGTCTGGTGCAGACAGGGTGTTAGATGATGATCTAAACCTTTAAAAAATCCAATATCTGCTAATAAGAAATTAGCAGAAAAAAAATTGTATTGGAGGATAATTAATATAAATGAAATATATAAATTGCATAAACTAACAAATTCCTATTTCAACAGAAAATGTTAATTAATAAATGTTTTAATAAATTAAATGTTAAAAAATGTTAATTCAAAATAACTTTGACTGGAAAATTTGTACTACATCCCATTGTACATAATTCTGTTACAATCTAGAGTAAGGCTTGGATGATGCATAATAAAAATGACTCTGTTCCAGAAAACATGACTCAGTCTGAATCATTCTCAATTCATGGACACACACACACATATCAAGGACCCACCCACACAAAAAAACAGTCCGAGGACGCACCGGTGGGCCACAGCTCAAGGCCTGAGACACAATATCACAAATCAAACACAGAGTTACTACAGGGCACACTTGAATTAAACATTCTTTTAAATACACTGTGACATTAAATATTGAAGAACACAATAGCTGTGAATGTGTTTGGGTTCGGCCCGTAGTGAGCCGGGTCAGGCGCGCACTGTATGTGGCAGCCACAGCAGATGGCAGCACGCTGAGAGAGGCTATTTATGCCAAGGTCGGTCTAAAACGGATCACTGGAGTTTTTCACACATACGTCACAGCTTGCCAGTTTCAGTGAAAGCTTGTGAAAGCAGCAGCCCATTTTCTAAAGACACACATGTAGAGCCGTGTGTTAAAAGTGACAAACAACAGCAGCATCAGGAATGTGCAGGGTTTTCTGAATGAAACCATTTTAAAAAATGAAAACAAATTAGATCAACTGAAAACAATTACATATCAAGGGTAATGAAAGACTAGCATGGCATAAGAGAATGGAAAATCTCTTCCCTGTCAGTCATCAGTCATCCCTGTTGCTTGTGCACCTTTTCCTACCCATTTTCTTCCTTCCAGTCAACTTTGCATTTAAAATGCTTTGATACAGCACTCTGTGAACAGCTGCCCTTTTCAGTAATGACCTTCTGTGACTTACCCTCCTTGTGGAGGGTGTCACTGATTGACTTCTAGACCATTGCCAAGTCAGCAGTCTTCCCCATTATTGAGGTTTCAAAGAACAAGAGAAACCGGGAATTTATACTGTAGGGATGTTGATTTAATGAAACTCAAATTTAAATATTCTAATATTTTAAGATACTGGATTTTTGACTTTCATGAGCTGTAAGCTCTAATCATCCAAATTAAAACAAAAAAACCTTTGGAATGTTTTACTTTACATGTAATGAATCTAGAATATATGAAAGTTTCACTTTTTGAAATAAGTTAAAAAAAAAATTTAATTTTTTGAGATGCACCTGTAGTTGATTGGTGATGAACATGATGCAATAGTAATTGCAGGGTAAATACATTCATGCCACCTCTGAGCTGAAACAAACGGACTCTTAATACCAATTCAGATGCAACTTCTGAAAAAAAAAAAAGGCTGCTGTAGCCTAAAGGTTTACGCATAATAATCAAATAAAATATTTATTTCTAAAGCTACTTTTTTTCTATTTGATACTCTTCTCATTTAACACAATAGGACTGTTTTGTTGATGATGCTGAAATTGCACTAACCAATGGTTTCAACAGAAGCATATCATCAGTTAACAACCAAGAGCTCATGGTAGGGTCTATCTTGAAAAGTTTTTGTGCAATCATTAAAAATCTCAATGGAGAAAATGAAAATAATTTTTACTTCCTGTTGCCCTCTATGGTATTTTCCATTAAATATGCAGGATAATGTTATACGTCACACAAACTGTACATATGATCTGGAGTTACCTGCTGTTCAAGTGATCTTGACAGCCCCTGACTTCGGTGGAACTGGGGTGACCGCTGTCTAAGAGCTGCTGGACGATCTGATTAACATCTAGTATCCTTCCCATCAGGCTGTTCATCTCCTGGTCCAAACTTTCAAACCTAAAATGCAGAAAACGTATTTCTCAGAGAAGAAGATATTCAATGGTAAATCACAGTTAGGCTTTTGTGTCCATAAAAACAACTTTATCTGTGTGTAATTGCAAAAATGCAACGTAGGCTCACTGGAAAAACAAGCTTTTACCTAAATTTTTGTAAAACTCCAAAAATGTACCTATACATACAGTACAATTCACTGAAGATTCCAGATTAAATAAACACTAGTGGCAGTAAAACATCAACAACTTGTATTCCTTTTCATACAAATTATGATTACAGCAGCAGATTATCCTTTAATAAAGATTTATTTTCACACGGCTCCTAGGCCAATACTATGTAATGATCTCAGAACACTTTTACCATAGTGCATGGTTTGTAAACTAATACATTTTGAGGTTTGCATCACATTACCAGCTCCATATGCATGGCTTTTCTGACATAGTAAACTTGCTCGATAGCACACCTGGTACAGCACTGCACTTGCGATACAAAGGCAAGGCAAGTTTATTTATATAGCACATTTCACACACAATGGTAATTCAAAGTGCTTTACATAAAAGGAAGTAAAATAATCATAAAAAAATATAATCACAACAATAAAAAATAAGGAATTTAAAAACAATCAGTGCAATCAGTTCGGACGTAGCACAGTGCCCATTCAGTAAATGCACAGCTAAACAGATGAGTTTTGAGTCTAGATTTAAATGTGGCATCTGATCTCTTCTGGAAGCTGATTCCAACTGCGGGCGGCATAATAGCTAAAAGCGGACTCCCCTTGTTTTGTGTGAACCCTTGGTATTTCTAACTGACTCGATCCTAATGATCTGAGTGGTCTGTTAGGTTTATATTCAGTGAGCATATCTGCAATGTATTTAGGTCCTAGGCCATTGAGTAATTTATAAACGAGTAAAAGTACTTTAAAATCAATCCTAAATGTAACTGGAAGCCAGTTTAAGGACCTGAGGACAGGCGTAATATGCTCAGATTTTCTGGTTCTTATAAGAAATTTAAAAAATACAAAGCACTTGCAGAAATGACATCACGGGTGCATTTTTCTAATGAGCCTCGGTTGCAAAAATGTCTCAACAAAAATGTCAAAAATTTGATTTCCAATGCAATGACATTTCTAAATATTTTCTGGGGTCACAGTAGACAAGCAACACCTGGTGAATGCTCCTACCTGTGTGCGATCACCTCCACGTCCTCTAGTCTTTCGGGAACCTCCATCCTGTTCAGCCACTGCTCCTTCTCATCGATCCACACCTCACAGGCGTTCACCTCACTAAACATGCGATACACAGCCAGCGCGTCATGAAGCCACTGCTGCCGCAACACGGCAACTTCCGCCACCTCTGCGTAGAGCTGCTCCGTCTCAGCCATGCGCGCTCGCACCTCATCCAGCTCCCGATAATGCATTGGCAACGCAACCATGTGTTTCCGAAGGCCCACCACTTGTACACGGTGTTTATCGATACTCTCTCGGACACCTCTGTGCTTTTTAAGAAGAGACTGCGTTGAATACTCATCATGTCCGAAGTCCTCGCTAGAAACGAGCCTGTAAGCGTCCTGTAGCCAAGCTAGAAGATCGTCGGTCTCGGTGCTGAACTGAAAAAAGTCCAGCGCCTCCTGTAGGTTACACAGCCTCTGTGCGGCCTGGTCCTCCAGTCTCTTCCACTCGGCCTTGACCTCCATCAGTCGCTCTTGTATTCCAGCCGTACCGAAGCTCTTCTGGGTGAGGATCTGCTTGCCTTTCATCATGGTCTGCTGAAGTAACGCACGTCGCGCCAACAGCTCTCCAGCCACGGTTTTGTGCTTCTGCAGCAGTCGCAGGATGCTGCTCAGGTCTTTCCCGCAGCTCTGCGTGGCCAAGATGGACGTCTTCTCTCGGATCCAATTCTCTGATTCCTCTACCTCCTGAAAGAAGGCCCACAGCTCACGCGAATCCTCCAGCTCCAAGCGCCGTTTTGCAGCCAGCTGCTTTAATTCTTCCAGGCAGGTGTTGACGTGGTTGACCCGGTTACAAATTACCTGAGGGTCACACGGCTGGTAACCTGAGTGAGAAACAGAGACAAGAAGAAAAGCTTCACTGATTTCACTGATTTGTCACCAAAGTAATGTTATTTAGCTGGCTAACAAAGATGAGGTTTTGTCAGATTAGCAAAAATGACTTGTTAAAGTCTTGTAAGCACTAAGAAAGTCTTGAAAACGGCAAATTAAACAGTATGTTCTGCATCTTTCATTGAGATACACTATAGCTGTATAATTTCCAGCTTGCTGCAATAATATATATATATATATATATATGATTGGGTTCCTCCTTCAATTCATACAGGATTTTTTTTTTACCCATTTTATCGTCTTCAAACGCAAACGCATTGTCTTCAAAAGCAATACCACACTTCAACAACCAATATGAGCATGAAAAATAGTAAAAATGATGCTTGCTTGCTAATGAAAGACATTAATTATGTGTTGAAACAACATTCAAAAGTAAAAATTTTTTTTTTTAAAGAAAGTATTAGAATAATAATTAGAATGTATTACATTGATCAAAAGTGCCAGAAAATTTCAAATAAATGTTGTTCTTTTGAACTTTCTATTCATCAAAAAAAATCCTGAAAAAAATTATATCACCATTTCAACTCTTTTCAACATTGGTAATAAAAAGTAATGTTTACTGAGCACAACATTAACATATTAGAATGATTTCTGGAGGATCATGTGACACTGAAGACTGGAGTAATGATGCTGAAAATTCAGCTTCTTGCATCACAGGAATAAATTAAATTTTAAAATACATGAAGATAGAAAACGGTTATTTTAAATTGTAATACTATTTCTGTATTTTTGATCAAAAGAAAGAAAATCTTTTGTTAAGGAAACTTAACATTTAGTTTAAAGCTGAAAATAGTCATTACTGAGCCGGGCCCTGAACCAACAAGGTGTAGTAGTGTGTGCTGAATAGAGAGCAAAGCAACTCCAGCCCTCTTGTGGTGCATTATGCAAGTTCCTCATGTATTATTATTTTACACACTCTACCCCTGCAGAGGTCTCTGGACATCTCAGTGAAAGAAACGCATCCAGTAAACCTTTATATCACAATCTGCCATCACATCTTGACCCCAGACAGTGTCTCTGAATCAATATTCATTATGTTACTGTTTTAAGGTGCACTCACCTTCAATAGTGGTGAATTTGAGAGCTGCAGTGTTGAGGGTTTGAACTCTGTCTGCCTGTATAGAGATGTCAGCCTCCTGTAAACTCTGTTTCTGGAGCATGTCCTCCACTTCAAGAAGATGTTTGCCGTAGTCCTTAGAAAGCAACTTAACCTGGGACAAGAATATGGCACTTTGGTCAATAAAAGTGTGTTTGATTGTGTCAACTTGACTACTGAATGAAAATATTGGTAATACACAATGTATGTTTTTGTGGGGATTTAAATCACAAGTCAAATTGGTACAGTCAACCCACCTGCATCTCCTCCATCCAGTCGATCATGTAGACCATCTCTTGGAAGGTCTTCTGCAGGGCCAGGTTCTTCTCCAGACGGGCTTTACGCCCCACCACCAGCTCCTTCAGAAGGCTCCACTGGCCAAGGATGTTTTCTTTGCGTGCCAAGATACGTCGGATGTCATAGTACCCTTCTGACTCCATCTCATTGGCCAGCTCCACCACGACACTGATTCGCTCCTCGTACGACAGGATGTCTGCTTCGATCGCCTCGTGTTTCTTCATGGCAGCTTCTACTGCTGGCAGGTCATAGCCGAAGTTATCCTGAGGAAAATACAGCACTCGTTTAAGGCAAAATGTCACCTGTTTTATTTTATACAGTTCTGTCATGACAACTCTCGGAGGGATTGGCATGGTAATGTACATGACAATGTTAATGTATTTGGTGGAATAGATCTGCTATGCTGCTGCTGAGACTTGCTACTGCCAATACATCCACAACATGCTGCTGTGAGCATGTAAGAAATATTGCTGCTGCAAATATAACATACATGAAATAACCCCCATATAGCGTACATGAATCACCTCGTAGCAGATCTATACAGGTGGAGCTGGGGAAGGTGGAGGGTTTCTGAAGCAAGCTGCAACTGCAAACACTAATCATATATTTGAATGTTGAGCAGCGAGCTCATTGGCTACAGATACAGGAGAGAACCAATCAGCTGTGCCATGTGATAATGATGTCATTAGGTCAGATTGAGACCTATCGGACTGCGCCATCTAGAGTTTCATGCCAGAACTCTGTATTTCATTTTTTAAGAGTTTTATTTTTCTGTTCTGCTCACCTGTGAGACGAGACGCTGGTTTTCATTCAGCCAAGCCTGCCTCATGGTGGTCTTATGATCGAATCGTTGAGCTAGAAGTTCTAGCTTTTCCTGACGTATCAGCTCTTTTCTAAGAGCCACGCCCCTCTCGTGTTCCGCCTTCTCTAGTCTCTCCCACGCCTTTCATGAGAAAAACAAAATATGAGGATTGTTCTGTGAGACAATGTCAATGATCATACAATAATTTTGATTAATTTATTCGATAATATATATAAATAAAATAAAATGTGAAAAGGGTAAATAGTAGGTAAATATTACTTTCAATAATAATATTAAAATTAAATTTGATTCGATTCAAATTAGACACAATCGGTATCGGTACTTACACGAAAAGTTTGACAACATTTAGATTTTTTTTTAAATATTTTTGAAATAAGTCTTTTTTTTTTCACCAAGGCTGAATTTATTTAACCAAAAACACTAAAATTGTGAAATATTATTACAATTTAAAATAGCTGCTTTGTATTTGAATATATTTTAAAATGGAATTTATTCCTGTGATGCAAAGCTGTATTTTCAGCATCATTACTCCAGTCTTCAGAGTCACATGATCTTTCATAAATCATTCTAATATGCTGATTTGCTGCTCAAGAAACATTTCTTCTTATTTGAAAACAGTTGTGCTGCATCATAAATTGTGGAAATCATGATACACTACTACTCAAAAGTTTGGAGGAAGTACAATAAAAAAAACAAGAAAAAGAAAAAGAAATTAATACTTTTATTTAGCAAGGATGCATAAAAAAAATGACAGTAAAGTCATGTATAATGAAGCAAAGGTTTTCTTCAAAATAATTGATAATAACTGAGCAGAAAATCAGCATATTAGAATGATCACAGGAATGAATTACATTTTAAAACATATTCAAATCGAAAACAGTTATTATAACTTGCCATTGTTCACAATATTACTGTTTTTATCAAAATCGAGGCTTTTACATTACATTAAAAAATATTCATCAGATGACATGACATGAAATTTATACTTCCATATTGTCAAATTAAAAAAAAAAAACTAAGTATTTTTCTGAAAGGTAATCAGCCCTGTTCTACTTATACAAAAATACAAAATTTGACACTGTAACCAGTCAATAACCATATTAACTAAACAGCACACACCTTATTGATGTCTGAGATAAGTTTCCCGTCATGAGGCACATATGGCTTCTGATTATTAGCTCTGAGCTTACTTTGGATGGTGAAAAGCAGCACCTCCAGGTTCCCTTTCTCCTGGAATCTGTTAAAAAACAATCCATTAACATTTAAAATATATTAACTTTAACTTTAATATCAAAGAACACTACACAGTTTAATTATAATCACATACAGTACTTCATATGTGCTTTAGTATGTTAGTCAAGACAAAAAATTAAGTGTACTTCTTTAAAGCACATCAAAAGATTATTAAATCACACTCTTGCACTCTTTACAAGTGTATTTAAAGAGATAATTCACTCAAAAAATGAAAATTCTGTCATCATTTATTTATCCTTGAGATGTTCCAAACCTGTATGAGTTTCTTTCTTCTGTTAAACACAAGAAGATATTTTAAAGAGCGTTGGTAACCAAACAGTTGCTGGTAGCCACTGACTTCTATAATATGGGCTATTATATGGGGAAAAATATGGAAGTCAATGGCTACCAGCAATTGTTTGGTTACCAAAATTCTTTAAAATATCATCTTTGGTGATCAACTCAAACAATGACAGAAAAATTTAGAACAATGACAGAATTTTAAAGGGGTGGTTCATTGCGATTTCACTTTTTTAACGTTAGTTAGTGTGTAATGTTGCTGTTTGAGCATAAACAATATCTGCAAAGTCACGAAGCTGAAAGTTCAATGCAAACGTAGATATCGTCTTTTAAAATTCTGGCAGTTTAATGCCTACAAAAACGGCTGGTAGGGACTACGAGTTACTTCCCGGGTTCGTGACATCACAAACACAGATAAACCCCGCCCTCGGGAAAAGGCAGCAAAGGGGGCGAGGCCATGCTGCGCTGCTTTAGAGAAGAGGAAGAGAAAACGTCTCCAGGTTACGTATGTAACCATGGTTCCCCGAAGGGAACGAGACAC